GGGTCGAGTTTATCACGGCTAGCGGTTACTTATCGGCACGTAAAATACGTAGCCGGTTTCAAACGTTGGTCGGACAAGTGGTTGAGAAGCCAGCGTTTCGGTAAAAGCTTTTTTCTTTGAATAAAAAAATTTCCTCTTTTATTTGGATATTTAGAGATTACTGTAAGTTGCTCACTGATACCAGTGACGTTCGACTAAGGGTTGATGACAAATATGTGGTGCAAATAACTTGTGCTTTCCGATGCAATGGAATTTGGCCTCGATCAGCAAGCCATTGGCCAAATAATACTATCCCCTGGCCTAATCCAGCTGTTGCTGCTGAGGTAGGACACCTATAGCTTAAGAATAATTCCCCTAACTTATTTCTTATTTAGGTAAAAAATGAAGGTTTCGACTTGACGAGTCGTGAGACCGGAGCCACGCCATCTCAACAAAATAAACAAGCCAGTTCAATGGAGGGAGACGCTTGGGCTATGAACCTTACCGGCGCTGAAAATGTCCTGCTAGGTAGGTTAAACTGCATAAAAAAACTTACACTTCAACTAAAAATCAGCTCATTTCAGCCGGTAATCGCCGGAAAGCCTTGAGCATCTTAAAGTGCCTAAGGGATACCCATCTGGAATTTCCCGGTACTCCTATTACTAATTATATACTCAAAACTCTGATGTTGTACGAATGCGAAAAGCACTGTAACGATTATGAATGGGAGGATAACTGCATTGGAGATAGGATTATTGGTAAGTTAGAATAACTAATTACTTTGTTTGGATTGTTTTTCCCTTTTTTCGAAAATCAAATTTTTTTATTGGCTCAATCTTTTTTCTAACATTCCGATAAGCAGTTCCATTCTTTGCCTTTCATTACCTCATAAACATTGAATATCCACAATCTCATACAACTCCTATTCCACCTACAATGATCTCAACCTTCCTACCGTACTCCTCTTCCCTCTCCCACTTCAATTTTCACACCAATCCCAGATTGCCCCCAAAAATTCACGATATCCTTCCTCCAATCAATATAGATACCATTCCAAAACGGCATTTTTCAAGTTTTCCGCCCATTGACTAAGTGTTGATATCTCTCCCGAGACGAGCGCGAGTCAGCCAGTGGTTGGCCAGAGTGGAACATTAGTGGCGTGTCATTGCGCATCAATTTATTGCTTTCGACAGCCCATTCCGCACATGGCACAAGGGCGCATCAACAGCATCACCAGACAGGATAAGAAGTACTTCAAAAGAAATCCCGATCTCATTTATACGCTTAACTTGTAAAGGGATGATTACAAAAATATTTCAAGATATTTTTTTTGCATTTGCCCACTAACAGTTCTGTACTCAAAATGCTTCAAAAGAGTATACTACAACTTTTGAAAAAATGCAAAATTCTGACTCCACCTATTAGAAACGGTACTGACCATCATGTTAACATGGAAGTAATGAAAGAGCATATCATGATTTATAGACTCTTAAAATCTTTCTGATTGCAGTATAGACTAACTACCAATCTAGCAGCGAAAGGATATCAATGAAACGTTTACACAAGTTTCTATTTAGAGCAGCAAATTTTTTGACAGAAAATGTTCCTGCACTATTTTGGAAATTACTGTTCACGTCTGGTCGTATCCCACTTTCCAACGGATAAATTCATCTCCTTAACTATCCAATCAGAAAGAGCTAAAATTCCACTAGAAGTGTAGATAATCTATTTCATCATGGCCACTCCTAATGGTATCTGAAAGCATATCAGAAAATCTTAAA